AAGCACCCCCAGGCGTAGCACCCCCAGGCTCAGCACCCCCAGGCCCAGGACCCCCAGGCTCAGCACCCTCAGCAGCACCAGAGTCACCAGTGACCTCGATAGGCTCGATTGCGTCTACCTGGGACACACCTGAAGGGGCACGACCCTGAGGGGGGAGGGGGTCTACCTGGGGGGGACCTGGTACAAGGAAGAGCGGGGGCGGGGGGAGGGACGGAGTGCGGTAGGGGAAGAGGCGGTAGTAGGGGACCGACTCGTCAAACGTGACGTCCTGGGAGGACAGAACACGGCGAGAGGTGGGGTGGTAGAACTGCCACCCAGGCGCGTAAGGGGGGAACCCCAGGAAGACGCAAGGAGTAGCACGAGGGGACAGTTTGTCCGCAGACAAGTCGCGGACAAACGCCCGAGATCCCCAGACCCGGAACGCCGACGCATCGCCAACCTTCTCCGTCCACAGCAAGGCTGGGGAGGTCTCCGGCCTGGAGACCCTGGGGTGAAGGTTGATCTGATGCGCCGCGTACCTGACCGCAAACGGCCACAGAAAATGGGGGGCAGCCGCATGCATCATAGACGTACGAGCGACGTCCATGACCATGCCAATGCGGCGCTCAGCAATCCCATTTTGCTGCGGAGAGTCCGGAAGCGTGAAGGTCTGTCGGATGCCCCGTGCGCGACAGTAGGCTTTCAAAAGGCCAGAGGAAAACTCTCCGCCTCTGTCCGAGTGCAGACGCAGAACAGGAAAGTCCGAGCCAAAGCTCTGCCTGAGCTGGAGACGAGCTGCGCGGATCCAGTCGATCAGCACCTCAGTGGCATCACCCTTGCTGCGCAAGGGGAAGACTGTGGTGTAACGCGAGTAGTCGTCAACAACTAGCAGGAAGTAGCGCTCGTGACCCTGTCCACGGACGCGGGCTGGGCCCGACACGTCCATGTGAATTGTCTGCAACGGGGCCTCTGTCGGAGGAAACTGGGAGGAGTGAGGGGCAGCACGCTGGCGCCCCTCGACACATGGGACACAGGTAGGGCCAGGGCCCTGAGGAAGGGGAGGGAGGGACCGGGGGAGACCAGAAACAAGAAGATGAGAGGCCATGCCTCTGAGCCGAAGTAGAGAGGGGTGACCAAGGCGATGGTGCCAGAGGAGAGTCTCGTGAGATAGGAGACGACACGAACAGGGGCCAGACTCAGGACCAGACCTGGACGCTGCAGCAAACACCTGACCCGATGCAGCTACCCTACCAGACTCAGTAACTGGAGGAGACGCAGTGGTCAGTGTGTACAGGCTCGACCCCGGCCGACGAGTAAACGTGGCCAGGTGTCGGCCTGTCCGAGCGTCTGTGCAGTGGGTCACCCGCTGACTCGCAGGAGTGAACTGGTGAACCCCCGCATCCTGCAGGTCAGCACCACTCACCAAGTTCGTAGAGAACGAGGGGAGGTAAAGACCAGACAGGGTGCCAGAGGGGGCCGCCGGACAGGGAGGACAGTGGAGAAGTGAGCAAGGACAGGGCCCCCAGAGGGGTTTGCCAGAGAGACTGCAACTGGCCGACCAAGCGGCGTGAGGGTGGTGCGGTCTCGAAAGAAGGAGCGGGAAGCCCCCGAGTCAAGGGTGAAGGTGTGAGAGGCCGGAGCCGACGCGGTACCTAAGAGAGCAGACTCACCCGCACCTGAGGAAGCAGACTCACTAGCACCTAGAGCAGCAGCCGCACCTGTACCTGGTGCAGCAGACACACTAGCACCCAGAGCAGCAGCCGCACCAGCAGCTAGAGCAGTAGGCTCTATACCCGGGTCATGCGGTACGCACAGGTGACCGTCACGGTATGCACTAGTAGGCAATGCATACATGGCAGTGAGAATAGCATCATAGTCAAGAGCAAATATATCTACCCTCTCCCTAAGCAACTCCACCCAGTCGGGGAGCTCAGCCTCGTCGCCAAACTCGGTACGCTAGGCGTCGTTGAGACGGGCGAAGCAGCGGGACGGTGTATGACTAGGCGTCCCACAAGGCTGACCAGTCCGAGCACCAGTGCGAATCACGTAAGAGCAGCGAACAGAACTGAGAGACCCTCTACTCTGAGCGTACCACTCACGAAGCTGCTGGGGCGTGAGAGACGCGCGAGGGCGTCGCTGGAGCTGCATTTGGCCGCCGCCAGTAGAAGCAGGAGCAGGAGTAGCAGCAGGAAGGCAGGCAGCCAAGCAAGCTGCAGGCAGCGCGCTAGTAAGGCAGGGGCTCACCAGTGGTGGGAAGAGCAGGCTCGACGACTCGGCGACTCGGCGGCACGGCGGCACTGCAGCAGCTGCGGCTCGGCGGCTCGGGCGACCCGGGCGGCTCGGCTGCTCGGGCGACTCGGGCGGCTCGGCGGCTCGGCTGCTCGGGTGGCTCGGGCGGCTCGGGCGGCTCGGGCGGCTCGGGCGGCTCGGGCGGCTCGGCTGCTCTGCGGCTCGGCTGCTGGGCTGCTCAGCGGCTCGGCTACGGCTCGGCTGCTGGGCTGCTCGGCGGCTCGATGAGGGGGGCGGCTCGGCAATGCAGCAGGCGACGGGCCGGGGCAGCTGTGCGGGGCCGGGACGGGCGGTGCATGGGCGGCGTGGGGCCGGGACGGCGGCGCGCTGCCAGAACGGGCGGCGCACTGGCGGCGTGGGGCCGGAACGGGCGGCGCACGGGCGGACTGGGCGCCGGGACGACGGCGCGGGGCCGGGACGGGCGGCGCACGGGCGGCGTGGGGCCGGGACGGGCGGCTCACTGGCGTCGACGGGCTGGAGCAACGGCGCGCGGTCGGGACGGGCGGCGCGCGGGCGGCTAAGGGCCGGGACGGGCGGCGCGCGGGCGGCTAGGGGCCAGGACGGGCGGCGCGCGGGCGTCTAAGGGCCGGGACGGGCGGCTAAGGGCCGAGATGGGCGATGCGCGGGTGTCTAAGGGCCGGGACGGGCGGCGCGCGGGCGTCTAAGGGCCGGGACGGGCGGCGCACGTACGGTTAGGGGCCGGGACGGGCAGCGCGCGGGCGGCTAGGGGCTGGGACGGGCGGCGCGCTAGAAAAGAAAGAGGCCGCGCGCCCCGAGGCGCGCGCCAAAGTGCAACAGAGCATGAAGCAGCGGAAGCAGTAGTACCCACAGGCCGAGAGCGTAACCGCTCTGAAACCATGTGAAAGAAACTAGAACGAGAATGGATGAACTATGAATGAAGTGAGTACATATAGGAAACCCTGATTGGGTTGTACCCCCTATGGGATACCCCACTATAGCCTACACAAATATATAAGCTATAATGTTCTGACAAGGGGGTGTGTTGAAATGTAACTGTATACATTATTCTCTAACTGCCTGTAGTGTAGACTTAGTGTAGTTCTATGTTCTTATGCGGTGGTGCACCCTCATGCTTGCCTATAACTTGTACCAAGTTCTATAGTGCAACCCCTCATTGCTTTGGCAACCTTCTCGTTATCCTCTCCTTCTACCCTAAACCCTAGCCATGGCTTCTTAACCTTAGGACGCGGTAAAAGTGGACGATCGATCTGTCAGACTTATATGATCTAGCCTGTGTAGGCTGTAGCGGGTTAGATACTAAGGGGTACACAATTCTAGGGTTTCACATATTTGTATCACACTCTTTCCTTAGTCAATCATTCCTCATTCTTCCACATGGTATAGAGCAGGTTCCATAGTGGGAACATTTCCTAGGGCCCACCGAAAATCGATTTTTTTTTCCTGCCCGGAGCGCGCTTCGCCCCTGCCCGAGTCGCGCCCCGTGTGCCTGCCCTCCCGTCGCGTCCCCTGCCCTTAGCGGCCCGTCGCGCTCTCTTACGGCCCCGTAGCGGCCCCTCTCACGGCCCCTTGCGGCCCCTCTCACGGCCCTTTGCGGCCCCTTCAGGCCCCTCGCGGCCCCTTCGTGGCCCCTCGCGGCCCCTTCGCGGCCCCGTCGCCACCCTTCGCGGCCCCGTCGCCGCCCTTCTCGGCCCCGTCGCCGCCCTTCGAGGCCCCTCGCGGCCCCTTCACGTCGCCGTCGCCGCCCTTCGCGTCCCCTCACGGCCCCGACTCGGCCCTGTCGCCGCCCTTCGAGGCCCCTTCACGGCCCTTCGTGGCCCCTTCGCCGCCCTTAGCGGCCCCTTCTCGGCTCCTCCGCGAACACCAGCAGCCGCCGACAACAGCAGCCGCTGCCGCCGACAGCAGCAGCCGCCGCCGCCGACAGCAGCAGCCGACAGCAGCAGCAGCAGCTGCCGACAGCAGCGACCGCTGCCGACAACAGCAGCCGCCGCCGCCGACAGCAGCAGTCGCCGCCGCCGCCGCTGCCGTGACAGCCGCCGCCGCCACTGCCGGGGCTGCAGCCGCCGCAATCGCCGCTGCCGTGACCGCCGCCGCCGTCGCTGCCAGGGCCGCAACCGCCGCCGCCGCCGACAGCAGGAGCCGCCGCCGCAGTTCCGGCCCTGTCCTTGCCGACGCGCCTCGGCCCTGCCCCACCACTTGCGGGCCTCTACCCACCCGCCCTAGTAAGAGCACCGCCGAGCTGCGCCTGCTGCTACTGCTACTAGCCTACTGCTGCTGCTGTCATGGCTACCCCTAGCGTTCTCACCTTTGATGCTGAGGGTCGGGCTGTCGACTTTGATGTCTGGGTCGATGATTTGCAGCTTTTCCTACAGTGCGATAGGAAAGACGGTCTCTCACTGTTCGATCTCACGTCTAGCGCCTCTCTTGCCCCTACTGCCGATGCTGACAGCACTGTTCGCTCCCAGTGGGCCACACGCGATGCTGCTGCCCGTCTTGCTGTGCGTAGTCACTTGCCGTCCACTAAGCGCGCGCACTTTAGTCAGTACAAGAGTGCTAAGAGTAGTTGCATGCTGTAGTTGCATGCTACTCTTCCCCTGCCACTGCTGCCCTTAGCCGCCTCATGCTGCCGTACCTGTTCCCTGACCTCGCTGCCTTTCCCACTGTCGCTGACCTCATTACGCACCTTCGCACTAGTGACACCCGCTACCGCGCCGCGCTTCCTGCTGAGTTCTGCGCCAAGAACCCACCCCCCCATGTACATCACCCTCTACTATATAGTCACCCGGCTCCCTGACTCCCTTCGCGTAGTCAGGGACCACTTCCTCTCTGTTTGCCCCACCACACTCACCGTTGACCTCCTCGAGGAGCGCCTCCTGGCAGCTGAGAAGAGTATAGTCGCTGTAGGAGCCTCTCGTGGTGACCCTCGTACCCCCTTCTTTGAGGGGTGCTCCCCCTCCCCGCTTTTGCCCTCTGTTGCCTCTGCTGCTGCCGTCGACTTGGTTGGCAGCGAGTCGGTCGGCGCTGCGTCTAACCCTAGCGGGAGACGCCGCACCGGCAAGGGAAAGGGGGGCAAGGGCGCTGGAGGGGCTGGCGGGGGCGGTGGAGGTGGCGGTGGAGGCGGCGGAGGGAGTGGGGGTGGCGGTGGGAGTGGTGGCGGTGGGAGTGGTGGCGAGGGTGGGGGCTTCGGTGGCGGCGGTGGAGGCGGAGGCGGAGGAGGCGGTGGAGGTGGGAGCGGAGGAGGAGGCGGTGGCGGCGGTGGCGGAGGTGTCGGCGGCGCAGGTGAAGCTGGTCGGGGTGGCTCTGTGCAGCGGGGCGGCTTCGGTGGTGGTCAGCGCCAGCAGCAGCAGCGCACTCGTGAGATCCCGCCCCCCCAGCAGCTTCGTGAGTGGTACGCTGCGCGTCAGCGGGGTGGGGGTGCTGGTCCTTGTGCCTACGTACTGCGTACCGGCGACCGCACAGGTGAGCCATGCAGTGGCCCGCACACCACCCAGCGCTGCTCCGGCCGCCTGACGGACGCTTGGCGTCTCCAGTTCCGTGACGCCACTGAGATCCCCCGTTGGGGCGAGCTGCTTAGGTCGGGGGTTGCTATCTTTGATCTGGATTATGATGCTATTCTTGCTGCCATGTATGTTGTGTCTACTAGTGATGAGGGTGACTGTTACCTGTGTGTTCCGCCTGACCCGGGCATTGAGGCTGCTGCTCTAGGTGCTGGTGAGGCTACTGCTCTAGGTGCTAGTGCGTCTGCTGCCTTAGGTGCTGGTGAGTCTGCTCTCTCAGGTACCACGTCGGCTCAGGCCTTGCACACCTTCACCCTTGACTCGGGTGCTTCCCGCTCCTTCTTTCAAGACCGCACCACACTCACGCCGCTTAGTCGGCTAGTTGCAGTCTCCCTGGCGGACCCCTCTGGGGGTCCTGTCCTTGCCCACTTCTCCACTGTCTTACCGTGTCCGGCGGCCCCTTCTGGCACCCTGTCAGGTCTCTACCTCCCCTTGTTCTCTACGAACTTGGTGAGTGGTGCTGATCTACAGGATGGGGGGGTTGACCAGTTCACTCCTGCGAGTCAGCGGGTGACCCACTGTACGTGTGCTCGGACGGGCCGACACTTGGCCATGTTTATCCGTCAGCCGGGGTCGAGCCTGTACACACTGACTACTGAGTCTCCTCCGGTTGCTGAGTCTGGTCAGGTAGCTGCGTCGGGTCAGGTGTTTGCTGCAGCGTCCAGGTCTGGTCCTGAGTCTGCTCCCTGCTCGTGTCGTCTCCTGTCCCACTGGACCCTCCTCTGGCACCACCGCCTTGGTCACCCCTCCCTGCCTCGTCTCCAAGGCATGGCCTCCTGTTACCTTGTCTCTGGTCTCCCCCGGTCCCTCCCTCCCCTCCCTTCGGGGCGTGCCCCTACCTGCGTTCCCTGCGTTGAGGGGCGTCAGCGCGCCGCTCCTCACTCCTCCGAGTTTCCTCCGACCGAGGCTCAACTGCAGACTCTTCACATGGACGTGTGGGGCCCCGCCTGTGAAAGTTTAGAAGAAAGAAGAGAGTTGCACTAGCAAGAATGAGGATACAAATAGCAAACCCTAGAAGGGTTGTACTCGCTATAGAGCACCCCACTACAGGCTAGAGCATAATATTCTGACACCGCCCGCGTCCGTGGCCAGGGTCACGAGCGTTACTTCCTATTGGTGGTTGACGACTACTCGCGTTACACCACGGTCTTCCCCTTGCGCAACAAGGGTGACGTCACTGAGGTGTTGACCGACTGGATCCGCGCAGCTCGTCTCCAGCTCAGAGAGAGTTTCGGCTCGGACTTTCCTGTTCTGCGTCTGCACTCTGACAGAGGCGGAGAGTTTTCCTCTGACCTTCTGGGAGCCTTCTGTCGTGCACAGGGCATCCGCCAGACGTTCACGCTTCCGGCCCCTCCACAGCAAAATGGGATTGCTGAGCGCCGCATTGGCATGGTCATGGACGTCGCTCGTACGTCCATGATCCATGCGGCTGCCCCCATTTTCTGTGGCCGTTTGCGGTTGAGTACGCGGCGCATCAGATCAACCTTCAGCCCCGCGTCTCCTTGCCGGAGACCTCCCCTACTCTTCGGTGGACGGGGAAGGTTGGCGATGCGTCTGCGTTCCGTGTCTGGGGATCTCGGGCTTTTGTCCGCGACTTGTCTGCGGACAAACTGTCCCCCCGTGCTGTTCCTTGCGTCTTCCTTGGCTTCCCCCCTGACGCGCCAGGGTGGCAGTTTTACCACCCCACCTCACGTCGTGTTCTGTTCTCCCAGGACGTCACGTTTGACGAGTCGGTTCCTTACTACCGTCTCTTCCCCTACCGCACTGCGCCCCTCCCCCCGCCGCCGCTCTTCCTCGCGCCAGGTCCCCCTCCGGTAGACCCCCTTCCCCCTCAGGGTCCTGCCCCCTCAGATGTGTCCCAGGTAGACGTAGTCGAGCCTGTCGAGGTAGCTGTTGACTCTGGTGCTGCTAGGGGTGCTGGGCCTGGGGGTGCTGAGCCTGGGGGTGTTGTGCCTGGGGGTGCTGAGCCTGGGGTTGTTGAGCCTGGGGGTGTTGCGCCTGGGGGTGCGGAGCCTGAGTGTGCAGGGCCTGCTCGTGTAGAGACTGGCGGTACTGGGTCTGGAGGTCCCTTGGGTACTTCGTCCCGACGGGAGCTACCCTCTCCACAGGAGCTGCGCGAGTGGTTTGCTCGGCGTTGGAGCCGTGCTGCTAGAGCTGGAGGTACTGCTGGAGCTGGAGGTTCTGCTGCTACTGAGGGTGTTGGTACCACGGGTCCCGGAGGTGCTCGTACTGGAGGTACTGGAGCTGCTGGGCCTAGGGGTGCTCCTGGTGCTGGAGTTGCTGGCGGTGCTTCTGGAGCGGGTGCTGCTGGAGGTGCTGGAGCTGTGGCTGTTGAGGCTTCCGGTGGTCCAGCTGGAGCTGGAGCTGCTGGGGGTGTTGGCGCTGGAGTTGCTAATGGCGCTGGTGCTTCTGAGGGTGCTGGGGTTGGCGGTGCTGCCGCTGGGGGTGCTGGTGCTGTCCCTGCTGGCTCTGGAGGCGCTTCGCGGCTGCGGCCGTACTTCGTTCCGCTCCTTGAGCATGTTCTTTGTCTCCCGCCTTCTGCTGGTCCTGCTCCTTCCTTAAAGTGTCCGCCGCCTGTCCAGTCTGAGACACAGTTAGTGGGAATTGATTCCTTAGTGCATTGATTAGTGCATTGATTCTTGTTTCAATTCTCACATGGTATCGAGCAGGTTCCCTCGTGGGAACTGTGCCTAGGGCCCACCAAGTCGAAAGTTTTTTTTCTGCCCGGAGCGCGCTCTGCCCGAGTCGCGCTCCCTTCTTTGACTTCGTCGAGCCGCCCTAGCGGCCAAGTCGCGCCGCCTTAGCGGCCCCTGATTCATCGCCCTACCTGCGACCCCGGCCCCGTCGCCCCCCCCCCCCCTTGCGACCCTGGCCCCGTCGCCATACCTGCGGCCCCGGCCCTAGCCCCGTCGCCCTGCCTGCGCCCTGTCCCCATCGCCCTACCTGCGCACCGGCCCCGTCGCCCTACCGTCGACCCGGCACCGTCGCCCTACCTACGGCCCGACCCCGGCCCCGTCTCCCTGCCTACGGCCCGGCCCCGTCGCCCTACCTTCGACTCGGCCCCGTCGCCCTACCTACGGCCCGGCCCCGGCCCGGCCCCGGCCCCGTCACCCTACCTACGGCCCGGCCCCGGCCCCGTCGCCCTACATTCGACCCGGCCCCGTCGCCCTACCTGCGCCCCGGCCCCGGCCCCGTCGCCCTACATGCGCACCGACCCCGTCGCCCTACCTTCGACCCGGCCCCGTCGCCCTACCTACGGCCCTGCCCGAACCGCCTACGCAGCCGAGCCGCCCGCGCCGCTCAGCAGCTCGAGCCGCCCGTTCCGCCCGAGCCGCCCGAGCCGCCCGAGCCACCCCAGCCGCCCGAGCCGCCCGAGCCGCCCGAGCCACCTGAGCAGCTGAGGAGCCGAGCCGCGGGTGCCGCCGAGCCGCAGTTGCTGCCAAGCCGCCCGAGCTGCCCGAACCGCCCTGTCTGGTGAGCACAGCGCCTTTGTCACTGCACTGCCCCTGCTCTACAGTCAGCGCTGCTAGTCTACTACTGTAATGGCTACCCCTAGTGTCCTCGCTTTTGACGCCGAGGGTCGAGGCATTGACTTTGACGTCTGGGTAGATGACCTGCAGCTGTTCTTACAGTGCGATAGGGTAGACGGTCTCTCCCTCTTTGACCTCACCTTTGGTGCCTCTCCTGCTCCTGCTGCTGATGCTGACGCCACTGTTCGCTCACAGTGGGCCACGCGCGATGCTGCTGCACGTCTTGCTGTGCATCGCCACCTCCCTACCTCTGTGCGTCAGTACAAGAGTGCTCAGACCCTGTACGACGCTGTAGTTGCACGCTACTCCTCCCCTGCCACTGCTGCGCTGAGCCGTCTCATGCTACCGTACCTCTTCCCTGACCTTGCTGCCTTTCCCACAGTGGCTGACCTCATTACGCACCTCCGCACTAGTGACACTCGCTACTGCGCTGCGCTTCCTGCTGACTTCTGCGCCAAGAACCCCCCCCCCCCATGTATATCACTCTCTACTACATAGACACTCGCCTCCCTGACTCTCTTCGCGTAGTCAGGGACCACTTCCTCTCAGTCTGTCCCACCACTCTCATTGTTGACCTCCTCGAGAAGTCCCTCCTAGCGGCCGAGAAGAGCATAGTCGCTGTAGGGGCCTCTCGTGGTGACCCGCGCACCCCCATCTTTGAGGGGTGTTCCCCCTCCCCCCTTCTGCCCTCTATTGCCTTTGCTGCTGCGGCCAACCTCCTTGGTCTTGAGTCGGTCAGTGCGGCGTCTGCCCCTAGCGGGAGACGCCGCTCTGGCAGGGGCAAGGGGGGCAGGGGCACTGGAGGAGCGAGCGGGGGCGAAGGAGGTGGAGGTGGAGGCGGCAGGGGGAGTGGGGGTGGCGGTGGGAGTGGAGGTGGGGGTGGAGGTTTCGGTGGCGGCAGTGGAGGCGGAGGCGGCGGCGGCGGTGGCGGTGGGAGCGGAGGTGGCGGAGGTGGTGGCGGTGGAGGAGGAGGCGGAGGCGGCGGTAGTAGCGGAGGCGGCGGAGGCGGCAGAGGCGGCGGGGGTGGCGGTGGAGCTGGTCGCGGGTCTACGCAGAGGAGTGGCTCCGGTGGTGGTCCGCGCCAGCAGCAGCAGCGCGGTCGTGAGACCTTGTCCCCTCAGCAGCTCCGTGAGTGGTACACTGCACGCCAGCGGGGTGGGGGCTTTGGTCCGTGCACCTACGCCCTGCGCACCGGCGACCGTGCGGGTGAGCAGTGTGGGGGTGCGCACCCCACCTAGCGCTGCTTTGGCCGCCTGACGGACGCGTGGCGTCACCAATTCCCGGAGGCCACAGAGATCCCTCGCTGGGGCGAGCTGTCTAGGGCGGGAGTTGCCATCTATGATCTTGATTTTGATGCTATCCTTTCTGCCATGTATGCTGTGTCTATTAGTGATGAGGGTGACTGTTACTGGTGTTTCCAGCCGGACCCGGGCATTGAGACTGCTGCTCTAGGTACTGGTGAGGCTGCTGCTGTAGGTGCCAGTGAGGCTGCTGCTGTAGGTGCCAGTGCGTCTGCGTCCTCAGGAGCTGGTGAGTCTGCGCTCGCAGGTACCGCGTCGGCTTCGGCCTCCCTCACCTTCATACTTGACTCAGGGGCTTCTCGCTCCTTCTTTCGAGACCGCACCACACTCACACCGCTTAGTCGGCCGGTTGCAGTCTCCCTGGCAGACCCCTCTGGGGGTCCTGTCCTTTCTCACTTCTCCACTGTCCTCCCGTGTCCGGCGGCCCCCTCTGGCACCTTGTCTGGTCTTTACCTCCCCTCGTTCTCTACGAACTTGGTGAGTGGTGCTGACCTACAGGATGTGGGGGTTCACCAGTTTACTCTTGCGAGTCAGCGGGTGACTCACTGCTCGAACGCTCGCACAGGCTGGCACCTGGCCATGTTTACGCATCGGCCGGGATCGAGCCTGTACACCGTGACCACTGAGTCTCCTCCTGTCCCTGCGTCTGGTCAGGTAGCTGCGTCGGGTCAGGTGTTTGCTGCAGCGTCCAGGTCTGGTCCTGAGTCTGCCCCCTGCTCGTGTCGCCTCCTGTCTCACGAGACTCTCCTCTGGCACCACCACCTTGGT